TACAAAAATAAGGAAAATTAAACGACAGGAATTTTTGGGGTAGAGTGTTGACATCCATAAAAGAGTATCAATATTACTTTGCTGGTAAGGAAAGGTAAGGTATTTAGAATTTTTCACGCAACACTCTTAGACCACTTCTTGTACATAATACAATTAAGGAGGAACCAAACCACACCACACCAAATTTTTATTTTATAGATCTGTGAGTCAACCTTTTTCAACAATTGTTTCAGCATTGAAAGGCCGATATTAGCTCTAATTATTTTACATGAATTTTTTTGTATTTTTTTTCAAAGAAAATGAATAAAAAAATTCCATCAACATAAGACGCTTTTTTGTAAAATTTTCGCTGTAAATTAATGCATTACATTAATATCTAATAAAATATGTATAGAAAATCCGTATAGATATTAATTTTTTTAAATAAATATTTTTTTCTGAAAAATATTAAAAAGTCTAACAATCCTTTCTTTACATATTTTATTAGATATTAATATGATACATTTATTTACAACAAACTTTTAACTCGAAAACATCTTGGTTGAATTTAATTAATTTTTTTTCATTTTCTTTGGAAAAAATACAAAAAATATTCATATAAAATAATTATAAATATAAAATAATTAAGAGCTAATACCGACCTTTCAATGCTAAAACCCTTGTTATAAAAGAATGACTCAAAGATTTTTAAAATAAAAAGCTGGTGTGGCATTGCACCTTAAATTGAATTTTATAGCGACATTGGAAGACCTATCTAATGGGAAGGGATGCGACTAAAATTACTCGACATTCGTAGATTGATATACTAATAGTAAATCAAATTAAAATAGAAAGTGATTTATTTACTGAACCATAAAAATATTTCATCTTAATAAATTTTAAACATTTTATGTATATTATAGGTCATTAAAGTAAGGCGTTTCTCGTATTATGCTTTCGTCACATTTCCCGGCTGGTGGTAATTGATGGTAATCAATGGTGTCAGCGATGCCCCAACATCGGTCCACATCGGCCTAGTTGTCCTCAAAGTATCAGTCACATTATCCAGCTATACGTTTTTGATAAGAATGGCGTAGTTGCCGGTCGGACTTACAAAGATCCAGCTATGCATTATTAATGATAAAAAATGTTGCAGGTCAAACAGCGACCGATGATAAGCCGATGTCTGTTGCCCACCACTCAACCCCCCATTGACTCAGATTTAACGGACACTTGACGATGTTCGGCCATAAATCGGCCAGTCTTTGAAAGATGTGTTAATGATGGGTTGCCGATGAGGAGCGATGACAGGCATCGGTGGACACATCGCTGATTTAAAACTACAGCTTATTTTTTACCGATGACTCCACTGATTCGCTAAATAGCCTCAGTCACCGTCCGATTACTATAGGTGTCAGGCCGGCATCCACACCATTCTTATTTAAAAAAAAAAACCGCATCGGTTTCTCATCGTTATCCCCATCGCTGGATAATGTGACTGATACTTACACTACTTTACCGTTTGTCTGATGCATGGAAAGTCCTGTCCGATCTGTAGTTAATTCTGTCTTATTCAAAAATATATTTTTAAATTGATATTTTCTCCATTAAGAGCATACGATTGTGTCACACATTCATATTTCGATAACATTTATAATAGATCTTAAGGAAGCTCTTAACACTGCACACTAAAGAGATCTATTTATAGTGTAGTTTTATGCAGTTAGAGTGATCTACCCTTAGAAGTAAGACTTTAAAAAATATAATGTACAGTTAATTACATGATTTATAATGGATTAAAATATTTTAGCATTATATAAGTCTAAGAGTAAGAAATTTAATTAATTGTTTTCATTAATTTTCCCAATGTAAGTAAACAACAGTGATTTCTCCTCACAAATAGTCCATTCTTTTTGAATATCTTTCCTGTATAAATAAGGCAGATACCCTATGTTACATATGTACAATTAAATGAAATTGTCTCAATATGCACACCTTTATATAGTTAAGTCCAAAAAGCAGTTTCTGTTAGTGTTTAGAGCTTCCTTAAGTTCCATTCTGATAATATTCGGCCGGCAGAAATATCGCTAGAAATTCTCTACAGCAAGTATTTTGGTACTAGCCTGAAAATACGGATTTAGTTAATTACTATGGTAAAATTTCGAAATTTATTTCAAAATTTAGGATTATCTCCCTCATATGTAGCTTTGATCCTTTGAAGTATTTGGCTACAGTTTTTGACAACATTTTTTCAGCTATTCAGAGTTTTCTTTATATAAACATTTTGGATAAATTTTCAACGTTTGCCAAAATGCACTTCCGGTGCATAAAAATTGATATCGTATAAGATTTACTATATAGTACTTTACGTACAAGGGTGTTCGATGCATGGTGAATCATTTTAAAATGTTTTTCTCCTGAATTGTAGATAAAAAGAAAGAACCAATTTCTTCAAAATTCATGAAAAAATAAAAACAATTTCAATATCTTCTTAGAGGATTTCCAGTCTCCACACCAATTTATGGACAGAAGAAAACATGGTTCTTAAACAAAATGAGTTGTAATGGAAGTGAGGATTCCTTGTTAGAATGTGCAAGATCAGGATCCAGCAGTTGTAACTTAGCTGGAGTTATGTGTTACTACACTGTAAAAGGTTAGAAATGAATATTTTATTCATCCAAAATTTCGAAACCTTATCGAAGAATCTATTCATTTCCTATAAATTATTTACAGGTAGAGTAAGAATTGTTAATGGCAGCTATCCAGATGAAGGATATGTTGAGGTTTTGGTTTACGACAAATGGAGAAAAGTGTGCAGCACTAATTGGGACACAAAAGACGCAGCTGTTACATGCCAGAGTCTAGGGTTTTTAGGGTAATCTGAAAGTTTTATCAATTACAAATTCATTTTCATCTAACTCCGCGTTCTATGTTACATGTTCAAAATTTCTTCAGAATGCCTTAAATTCCCGTTCTTTCTTGAAAGAAATATCGTGAAACATCGTGTGCAGTTCCCGCAAATTAACATTACATTTACTGGCCACGTATAAAATACATTCCCTTTCTTTGGCTTTGTAGGATTTAGTTGAAGAAGGTAACTTCAATCTCATCAATGCAAAACGTTCCTTGATGAGAAACTGTGAATATAAAATAAAATACACGTCTTTCAAAAAAATATTAATTGTAGTGGTGCTCCAACTTCGTTTCCAGCTGTAGAAAAGAGGAATGAAACCAATTGGTTCTTAGACAGCATGGATTGTAATGGAGATGAAGATTTTTTGTTCGAATGTGCAGCCAGAGGATCCACTACTTGTAGTTCTGGTCGAGAGGCGGGAGTTAGTTGTTATAGCCACACAATATATGGTAGGTAATGGAAATTTTATTTATTTTAGACTTCATATTCATTTTCTAGATTTCAGAATCATTTTTTGTTGAAGAATCTATATAATTTGTAATTATTTTGTAATACAGGTACTGTTAGAATTGTTAGTGGTAGCTCTCCAAATGAGGGTGTAGTTGAGGTTTTGAAGAATTATCGGTGGCGTAGTGTATGTAAGGAAAGATGGAACAAAAATAACGCTGATGTGACGTGTAAAAGTTTAGGATTTTCAGGGTAACACTAGAATAGTGTTGTTTTCAAAGAATATCGAATATGGATCTCTAAAGTAATCGAAAAACGGAAAACTTTTTGTTACCTTTCAACAAATTGATTTATGTTCTATTATGTTGGTTTTGAAAATTATCTGCAGCTTAATGCTGTATAGACGGGGTCTTTGTTTGTGATTAATGCCATTTTAAAATTCATACATACCTATTTTCGTTATTTATTTAAGTGAACTTATGTTAAACCTTGATTTGTAGAGGGTTTCCAGTTTCATCGCTGATGTTTGTAGAGGATACGGACTATGCCTACATGTTAGGTTCCATGAACTGTGTAGGAGACGAAGATTCTTTATTACAGTGTTTTAGATCAATCACCCCATCCAGCAGTTGTTACAGCAGAGGAAAAGCCGGGGTAGTCTGCTATCGTTCAATAAATGGTGGGTTTAAAGGACGATTTGTATATACCTTTAAATGTATTTGATTTATAAGAACGTTTAATTTTATATTTCGAAAATTAGTACATGCATAGCGAAAATGTATTTGGACGATTAATGGAAATTTTTTTCATTTTTTTTCTCAGACACACTAAGATATTTAATTGAAACCACTGCAGAAGAGAAGAAAGCAGTTAAACCTAAATTATATATAAATGGTACTTGGAGAGAATTATGCAAGGATAGCTTGGATGACAGAAAAGCAAATGTCATCTGCAATAGCGTTGGATTCTCAGGGTATGTCTCTATTTCATTATTATTTCTCTCTGCCTCTAACATACCCTTAACATCCTCATATACACACGTACACCCTTTCACACATACCCGCAGACATGTATATACACAAAAGCATAAACACAAATTGAAAAACTTTCCTTGATATGAAAAACTACACAGTAAACAAAGACTTTTACTTTCAACTAACATAGTCTTATTATGTGTTTGCCTTGAGAATTTTTTTCTATCGAGGATGACATGATATAGCGCATAATCATGATAAAGGGAGCATTATCATGATTTTGCATGTTTACCTCCTTTTAATTTTTGCATTGAAGATATCACAAATCAGTACGCAGAGGGAGTGAATTTGGAAATCCTTTGGTAAACAATATAAATGCAGTGGAGGGGAAAACAATTTAACTGAATGTGAATATGGGGCATTTAGTTCTGGAGACTGCAGTGCTGATGGTAGTGTGGAAATTGAATGTTATACAGGAGATGTGAAAAGTATGTTTCTGATCAAAATATTCATTTTAAAAAAACCCATCACGTTTATATAAAAAAAAATTCACAGGGTAAAAATAATTCAGTTGAAAATGTCATGTTTTTCATGCCCAACTATTATATTAAAAAAGAATGTCAGTACCATACGAGGGACGTTAATAAATAATGTCATCAGGGCTCGGAAAGAAGCAAAAGACGCGTTTCAATGATTTAGTCTTCATGATTTTACTTATTAGTCTCTTTTGATTCAAACAGATGTCCGTAAATTTTTTATCTAATTTCTGATTGTATTTAGAACTAATTTTTGGGTATGACCCTTAGTATACTGAAAAATAGCAGATCCAATGATTTCCTGGACTTGTTTTTTTCTTTCTGAAAGGTGGTTTTTCAAGTTTGGAAATAGAAACGAGTCAAACGGTAAAAGATCTAGCGAATGTTGTTAATGTGAAAAAATATTAACTTTCTTTTTATCCCGAAAACCCCTTTACTCTTCAGGGCGTGCTGGTTTGGACGCTGTCATGAAGAAATTTAATGTAGTGGATTCCTGATTCTAGGTCCTTCCTCTAATAAACCTTTCGATTTTTTTGCAAAACAATTGCTTTCTGTACTCCTCCAGAGATAAAACTGTCTCCCCGATTACGAAATTGAACAACAGTACCACTAATATTTAAGAAATTGCATATAAATCTGTCCTTGATCTCTTGCATACCTTTGCTCTTGTCGGACCATTGCTGTTTTTATCAAGTACATCTTTGGTAAATTTTGTATTGAGTGTTTTAAGCAATAGATTCATGTTCCATTATCTGTTTGAATATGAAACAAACGTGGATAACTACAATTATTGATATTTTAAAATACAGTAATTGTTACGACATTCCTACACGCTGTATTTTCACTCATTTTTCAAAATAAAGGGTGATCTTTGAGTACCAAGCTTTTTTTACCGTTAAACGCTTCTTAGAAATATTGTAAACTACTCCCGATATGATGTCTATTAAATTTGCTATGTGTCTCAAAGTCAGTAATACATCATCAGATATTATTTGTTGAAATTGGGCAAATAGTACATAGGTTGTTATAATTTTTGTTGGCAAGGATGGTACCCATTTTTGACGCACATTATAAAAATTTTTATCATTGAAATCCACTTGCTTATTTGTCTATAAAACAGGCAATGGTTGATGTAAATGTCACATATTTCAGTGAAATTTTCTATGGGATTTAACAAGTTTTACAGCAGCTTTACTGATTCTTTACCATACATTTATAATGCAGTGTCTCGAATAGCCCTTGTTTCCCAGCTTCTCACGATGAAACTATGTGATGAAAAGTGGTCACATAAACTGTTATCAATTTATTAAAGATTCAATAATGAGAGAAAGTCTAGCTTAATGTCATATGATTTCTATGTTGTAGGTAATCGAGCTTATGACATTATTTATTGAACGTCACTCGTAATCAATGAAACGATGTCTTTTGATTGTCAGCACAGTATTAATTAAAGACTTCAATACGTTTAAAACACTTTATTGCAAAGACAATTAATTTGCAAGTCCGATTCTTATCAATATCGTCGATATATCTAAAAGGCGAGTTGATCGAAGGCCACAGCAAGTGTTTTCTTCTTTTCACGCAGAAGATTTTGCATAAATTTTGCTTCATATGAATATAAAAATAGGTCTGCTAATAACGAAGCCGAATTGGTACCCATGGAAATTCCAATAGAATGTTGGAATACCTGGTTTCCAAAAACCACATACTGTATTCAGGGAAATTTTCGCCCCCGTTTTATTTTTGCCCCCTTTGCCCTAGCCTCATGGGGCGAATTTAAAACGGCGCGAATTCATATAATTCAGTGTAATTACTTAAATAAAACTTTGACAGGACGAATTAAAAACGGGGCAAAATTGTCAAAAGGTCTTTGGAATTTTTGAGTATCCACAACTTTTTCACACCACTTCTTGAATATATTGTTGCACAGTACTCTTGAAGTTTCCCTTCACTACTGTCAGTATTTTAGTGATGAGTTACGAAAGAGGCTTAGTTGAACATTTACTGGAACCTGCAATGTATCTTTGCTTGTAAGGATTTTTATGAAGCTTTGGAATCCAATATATACAGGGTAGTTCAAATTCATTTTGGCTCTGTGGAATATTTAAAATATTTAAAACTGACATATGATTTTAAAGAATTTTTTCCTTGGAAAGGGAAATATGAGTATAAGTAGGATTACCACTTGTAGAATCAAATCCAAGTTCTTCATTGTTTGTTTTTTTTATTGAAATATTACTAATATTTTCCAAGTCTTTTTCATATTCCAGTTCTTAGGAGAAAAAAATTCTAGGAACCATCTACATTTCTAACTTGTGACATGATATTAAATCTTTTTCAAAGAAAAAAATTTGTTTGTATCATGTCCTTTAACCTGACTTACATTTTAAAAAATTAAACATTACTAAAAATTGGCCCTATGACAAGAATTTTCTAAATAAACTATGATTTTTTACCTCATGACCTCGAAGCTTGACCTACTTTTAAAAAACAGTAACCTTGGTTATAAATTCTGAATGAGAAGAGATAGGGCTTTCATATTAGACCTGTGTATTCCTGTGATAAGACCTTTCTAAATACATTATGATGTTTGACCCCATTACAGTGACATTGAAGTTTGACCATTTAAACAAAATTAAGACTTAAAAGGGACCATAACTTTTGAATGAGAAGAGTTGGGGCTTTCATATTTACACACATGCATTATCTAACAAATAAAAACCTTTTTAGCACACTAGGATTTTTGACCTCGCATCGTTGACTTTGAAGTTTGACCTACTATGAAAAAATTTCAAAACTTGCTGATTTTTTTTAGAAGACATTGGACTTTTATTTTAAAGCTATGTATTGCTTTTGACAAGACCTTTCTAAACACAATATGATTTTGATCTTGTGACCTTGTCCTTGAAGTTTGACCTAATTTTCAAAAAATGTTAATTTTTAGCTCTCCTGGACAGAGACCAGAAGAGCTTTTGCGATAGTAATACGTCCGTCGTCCGTCCGTCTGTCTGTCTGTCTGTCTGTCTGTCTGTTTGTCTGTTTGTAAACAATTTTTCAAAATGTTACTCCTCCTACAGTTTTGGTCTGATTTCAATATAACTTGGCACACAAGAAGACTACACTAAGATACATAATTTTGATTATAGGTTTTTTGTTTTGATAAACGGTGTTTCCGTGGTGACTAAAAATAGAACTTTCTGTGAAAATCATTCAAAATGTTACTCTTCCTACAGTTTTAGTCTGATTATAATATGATATAGCATGCAAGTAGACTACACTGAGATACATAATAATCAGTTTCGTGTTTTTGATTTTGACGATTGATGATGCCATGGTAACTAAAATTGAAAATTCTGTAAGTTTTATTAAGCTACTCCTACCATTATAGTCTAATTGTGATCTTGCTACAAAAAGAGACTTAATCAAGGATCATTACATGTATTCTATTTATTGCTTTTGTAAACTTTTAAGTCCCAAATGCTCCTATTCTCTTCCTTTATTATAAGTACAAACCAGTATAGCTACCTTCTCGACAGAGACTTCTGGTTCCTTATAACTTTTGATTGAGAAGAGATATGGCCTTCATATTTACAATTTTACATGTGCATTTCCTGTTGCAGGATATCTCCAGATGCTATGCTTTCTGATCCCTTACCTTCCCCATTGACCTAATAAAAAAAAACTTCGATTATAACTTCTGAATGACATATGAAAGGTTGTACATATTTGACACAATACTAATATTAATATGCCTTAAAAATGACATTTCACCCAGTTTCTGACTTCAGCGATACGAAGACTATAATTTCGTTGATTTTTTATCACTCAAGACCTTGATGTCTGAAAGCATGAAAACATCAACGTTGGCCTGGTTACTATCTAACATTCTTTCTATCAGTTAAAGGACACAATAACTGTCCGTTTACATTTTTGATCTGATAAACCTGTTCTAAATCATCTAAATATTGTTGTTTTAGGGTTTTTCTACCCTAACAATTTGAATGGTTAAAAGTATAAAAATTGCTTTTATTATACCCCCCGCTTGAAAAGCGGGAGGGTATATAGTAATCGTTAATTCCGTCCGTCCGCCCCGTCGTCTGCCCTCTCCGCCCGTCCGTCTGTTACGCTTTGGGGAACCCATCTTTTTATCCGCAACTCCTCTCATACCACTGAATGAAATTTAATGAAACTTTCATAGAATCTTTATTACATATTGCCATTGTGCACCTCATATTTTACTTGTTGATCTGACACATATTTTGGGTTTTTCCCGGGCCCCAGCAAACATGGACTTTGCCATTATAACTTTTTGGAGGCGGGGGTTATCATTTAGTGAGCTCATCGCTCACAGTACCTCTAGTTTTCATTAAATGTAGCTTAAATTTACTAATTATTGCAAAAAATGTTTAGGTCGCCATATTATTTAGGATAGGGGACTTAAATAAACAGAAGTATATGTCAACATATAAAAAATGTACACAGAAGTGTATTTCAACATATAAAAAATGTACATTTTTTGGGTAAACATTACGATTAAAACTAGAGGTACTGTGAGCGATGAGCTCACTAAATGAACTCCGCCTTTCCCATATGGTTATAACTGGTGAAAAAGTCCATGTTTTCCTGTGGCCGGGAAACCCAAAATATGTGTCGGATCAAAAAGTAAAATAGGAGGTGCACAATGGCAATATGTAATAACGATTCTGTGAAAGTTTCATCAAATTTCATTCAGTGGTATGAGAGGAGTTGCAGATAAGAGATGGGTACCCCAAAGCGTAACAGACGGACGGACAGACGGACGGACGGACGGAATTAACGATTACTATATACCCTCCCCCCTTTTCAAGCGGGGTATAATTATGTAAAAACTAGTTCAGATGCATAACTCTGATGCCGAAAGTTCCAAAATACTTGCTACTTCCAAGATACTATTGAATTGTGAATACCAGGGAAAGTATTTTACATAAGAAGTACAATGAATAAAATTCATGAATAAAGAGACCTGAGAAAGAGTTATTGCCCT